AAAAATCTGAAAGTAACAAGTGTTGGCAAGGATATGGAGAAAATGGAAACTTTGTATATTGCTGATGGGAATGTAAATGGAGAAACTGTGGAAAATTGTATGGCAGTTCCTCACAAAGTTCCACATAGAATTGTCATTGTTGTTGTTAAGTGCCATCGAGTCGGTTCCAACTCAAACAACCCTGTATAGGGTTTCCGAGGAATGACTGGTGGGTTTGAACTGCTAACCCTGTGGAACTGAGTCAATGGCACATAACAGCATTTTATCACAAAAAAAGCCCAAAAAAACATGAATATGAATACATGGAAAATCTATAGTATGAAAATCATTAAACAAAAAGAGAGAATGGTGTCCCCATTTTCTCCTTTTGCCTAACACAAATCTTTTCAATTAAGAGAACTTTAATATTAGTTTCAAGTAGCTCTTGGTATGGGTTAATTTTTAAAAGTCGAGGAACTGCTTGAGCACAAGAACCACTTATTTTAACTCTTTTGTATCACTCACAGATTTTGCAAAGTGAAAAGTGAAAGATTAGTATTTAACAAAGTAAGCATAAATGATGTTGATTAGGCACTTGGTATCTTCATATATGCTTTACAGAGGTGGTAAATGGACTTGGGCATAGAGACCTCGTGTAAGCGCTTATTTCCATAATCATTAAAGCCCCCACACAGAAATATATTTTGTAGGGTCACTGGACCAAAAAGAATGAGGCTAAGAGGTGATCTAAGCAATCCATGCAAAGGTTTATAATCAAGACTATACTTCAGTCATCTCTGTGAGACAGGCAACAGACTCATTATATATGGAAACTCCCCAACATCCTTCAATAATTCACTTTAATCTTCATTCAGCAATTCTCTTTGTTGAAGTGCTTCCTCTTATCACTCACTATTTAAGACAAGCTCCTCTTGAAATAGAAAAGACAGAACTTGATCTTCAAATAGTGAACACAAAACAATTCTTACTCTGATATTAAGAAACAGAAAGGGGTTTCCCAATTTTTTTGTGAAAACAGAACAAAAACCAGATACTCTGCTACATTTAGAGATCAAACGTGATACCCTTATGTCCAAGGGAAACTCACCAAAGGGCAGTGATGGTGGTGGTGTGCTATGGAGTCGGTTCTGACTCATAGCGACCCTGTATAAGGTTTCTGAGGCTATAAATCTTTATGGGAGCAGAAAGCTTCATCTTTCTCCCAATGAGAGGCTGGGAGCCCAATTTGTAACCCACTATGCTACCAGGGCTTCTTATCAATGGGTATTTTCATGGATTGCATTGTATCCTCCCTTCCCTCTTCCCTCCCCCCTCCACAAAAAATGTGTCCTCTTGGCTGGGCCATGACTTTTGGTGGTTCCAGCAGTTACTCTGATGTAATGTGGCAGTTACATGATGATCCCCTATGCTATGATCTGATGAAATAAACCAAAAAGTAAGGTTAGGAGTGGGCTGCAATACTCTTAATCCCATCACAAGCCTGATCAAATGTAGAACATGATCAGTTATCTACAACCCAGAAGCCAGTGGAATGATAAAACGCTAACATTTCTAAGTATTCCTATCCAACCGACAGATTTTGAGAATATAGTTACTTGTATATTCCCTAACCTAAGAGCATCATGTTCTTTGGGTTTTTTAAATTTATTTATAAATGATAAAAAAAATGCCTGTGGATGCCTAGATACACCAGATGTGAAGGTAATTTCATGTGTTACTCAGAAAGGGAGTACGAACCCGGAATTTAATGTTAACTGCTAAATATGTTTATGACTCTAAGCCTATTAGAACTCTTCTTGATAAAGTATGAGACACACACAGAGGACACAGAGAGTAATAAAGACAGAGAGACAGTATCGATCTAACATAAGGGCTAAGAATCAACACTGTGCTAACTGGCAGCAATTTGTCCTTGGATAAATAAATGTCAAAAAACTTGGGACGTTTCCTGCTGTTACAGTACTTACCATACCATACTATCATAATGTTCTATAGACTAACTGTCCTTAATTCTGCAGTGCTGTAGGATAAGCACTCTACCACAAGTCAGTTTGAACCACAAGGTCAGCAGTTCAAACTTACCAGCCGCTCCTCAGATACCCTTACAGGGTTGCTATGAGTGGGAACTGACTCGACAGCACTTAACAAGAACAGCAACAATGAGCTTCTTGAGGGCAGGGCTACACTTTTGTACTCTCAGAATCTAAGAGACTGCTCAGAGCATAAATAATGTACAGCAATATTACTGTGCTAACCATGTTTGGTAAGGTGGAGGGTCAGAGAAAAAGCGGAAGACACTCAGCGAGATAGACTGGCCAAGTGGCAGCATCCATGAGCTCAAGCATGGCAACAATAGTGAGGTTGGCCCAGGATCGGGCAGTGTTTCGTTCTGCTGTGCATAAGGTCGCATGAGTTGGCATGGACTCAATGGCACCTAACAACAACAACAACAACAAATGCCTCCTTTAGTCCTCATTAAAAAAAAGTGTCATATTATTATTCTAATTATGTAGCTGAAGAAACTAGGAATCAATAAAACTTAAGAATCTGTCCAAGTGTCTTAGGCTTCTGTCTTATTTTTAATAACTAGTTTTATGAATCTGCTGACTCAGCTATCATTCTACATTTATGTCTTATATATCAGGATGACAACATGAACTCAAGAGTCCTGGTGTGGTGCTGTAAGATAAGCACTTGACCACAAGGTCGGTTTGAACCGCAAGGCTGATGGGTCAAACTCAACAGCTGCTGCTTGGAAACAAGATGGCAGGGTCATTATGGGTCAGAACTGACTCAATGGCACTTAACAACAACAAACATGAACTCAGGCATCTCCTGAGGTGCATAAGATTTATGGGCCATACCAATAATTTTAAGAACCCAGGGTCATTTCTGGTCTTTATACTTTCAAAGTCTGGTTAACAATAAATTATTTATTTCTAAATACAAGTACACTGGAGTTTTAAAGGTAAATGATTACTCCTTAATTTTAGGAGATAACTTGGTAGTTTATAAAATAGCATGAGTAGGAAGATAAGAATACTTTTTAATAGGAAAGGTTTAGTAAGGATATGAAATTAAATCAGCAAACCCTTTTTATAGATGAGGATAAGTAAGTGGTTTATCATTAGTATAACAAAATAGTCAATGTAAAGGCATATATACTTACTAAACTATGTTATTGTTGATAAGTGCTGTCAAGTTGGTTCCGACCCATAGTACCCATGACAGGGTTTCCGAGGAGTGGCTGGTGAACTTGAACTGCCAATCTTGTGGTTCAAGCCGACTTTGCAGTCTGGCACATTAACCCACAGCACCACACCAGGACTCCCATCTACTTAATGATACCAGTGTCTAATATATATGACTTCAAGTCAATGAACTAATAAATATCTTACAAAATAAATTTATAAAATTATTTGATCTTGCATTCCATTTTAAAATGAAGAATTAATTAATATTTTGGTGTATCCTATTGTATTATATAAACAGAAATTGTTCTATTCAGAAAAAGGGGACTTTAATGACATAATAATGTAACATTTATTTTCTTCAGTTAGAGTTAATAAAAAATGTACAGCAAATCTTACCCTTATTTAATTACAATTTTAATTTCCAAACACACACACATATGCTTACACATGACACATACAATTATTGAACTATGAGGCATTAGTAAAAATTCAGTTAAACTAATTCAGCACTACTGTAAGTCTTCAAATCTGTACAAAATGGGATACATCTGTAGATATTTATAAATGCTGAAAAGGAACTGATCAGATCTATACACTGTCAATAATAGTGACTCTAATTCTCAACTCTTAGGGATATAATGTTTTTGTTGTTGTTATTAAGTGTTGCTGAGTTTGTTCTGACTCATAGTGACACTGTATAGGATTTCCAAGGAGTGGTCCGTGGGTTTGAACCACCAACCTACTGGTTAGCAGTTCAGTGCTATCCTACAGCGCCACACCATGACAGAATCAAGTATATAATAAAAAGTGTCTTTAATTTTTAAAAGTTAGCTTCTAGTGATTCAAATTAAAACTTCTGATTGGATTTGTACATACCTTGAAAGTAGAAAGTCCATAAAGTCTTGTGGTATGAACAGTTTCTTGAGAAATATTGGTAATATTAGTTATAAAATCCTCGAGGTATTTGCAAGCTTGTTCCAGGTGTGTTGTGTTTATGATGATTTGCACTAGCTAGAAAACACAAGTATATCTGGTAAAATGCAGGCAACATGTGCAGAGAACCACCTGAATTCTGAAAACAAGACTATAGTTTCCAGCAATATACTATTATTATGTCATCACGGCATTATAGTGTACAACTGGTTGTGTTTTCAAAGCCTACTGCAGATACTGATTTCCAATGCTATCACGGTTAAGAGAGCAAGAGAAAAAAAAAAAAAATAAACAAAGAGTTTAACTACCAATTAATTTAAAATAACTTTTCAGAGTGACTTTGCAAATTTAATGTTTGCCAAGATTTAAAAAAAAAAAAAATAGCTATTTTGACTTTTCATGTAGAGTCTGGCAACAGAAACCTACAAATCTAATCTATCATCTTCAACTGCAGGCATACCTGGTTTTGTTGTGTTTTGCTTTGTTGTGCTTCACAGATACTGAGCTTTTTTACAAATTGAAGGTTTGTGGCAAACCGACATCAAGAAAGTCATTTTTCCAACAGCATGTGTTCACCATTGTGTCACATTTTGGTAAATTCTCACATTATTTCAAACTTTTTCACAATGTTACTGTACATGTAACAGACTACAATACAGTATAATTCTTACATGCACTGGGAAATCAAAATTCATGTGACTCACTTTACTGCAACAGTTACATTTACTGCGGAGGTCTGGATCCAAACCTGCACTATCTCCAGGGTATGCATGGAGTAGTTATATATAGCTATATATAGTAGTTATATATAGTTATATATAGTAGTTATATATAGCCAAGGTATCTACTATTCCCATGTAAACTCTTTTTCCTCACATTTCTTGATTTACATGGATGCTTTTATTTTAAAACAAACTCACTTATATTAATCAATTTAATACATAAACCTGACTTACAGGATGATACTCAACTTGAAATAATTGTCCACACAGTGAAACATTTGGCTATAAGTATCTTACAGGTTTCTTTTTAACTTACCTCTGTCAAACCTATGTGAGGTTTTCTAATAAGGTTCAGTAAACAGCTATTCAAAGTTCTGGTCAGCAGCAGATTTGTTGATTTTCTAAGCATATCATCTATTTCTGTTGAGCTAAAAACAAAGGTTGGTATCAATAAGCTTACCACTACAGAACAGTTTAATTACCTTCTTAAATAGCGATCTAACCAAATTTATTATTTTGCGTTTTATCTTTAAATAAATTAAAGCAACGCCCACTTACTAAATACATAATTTCAATTTGATTTAATTCCATAAAAGTGGAATTTGTAATAAAATAGATTGATTGCTCACTTATGATGAAATTTAATTATATCCCATTAGCCAATATACAGAAAATCCACAGGATTCTTTAAGGAAATAAAACTATTCTTAAATTTTGACTACCATAGGTCACTAAGGGGCTCTGGTAGCATAGTGGTTACAAATCGGGCTGCGAACTGCAAGGCCAGCAGCTCGAAACTACCAGCTGTTCCATGGGAGAAAGATGAAGCTTTCTGCTCCCATAAAGATTTACAGCCTCGGAAACCCTATACAGGGTCGCTATGAGTCGGAACCGACTCCACGGCACATAACCACCACCACCACCATAGGTCACTAAATATCAGACACTTCATATACAATTCTAGCTAAAATTAACTTAAAATACAAACCAATGGGAGCTCTTTCCAAATATAAATGAATAACCAGATTTGAATCCTAATATAACTAAGCTATTTATTTCTACTGTTTTATTAAAGAGAATCAAAGAAGTCAATGCAATTACCTTAAACAAGTTGTAAAAAAAAAAAAGCCTTATGATGCTAAGTTGATACTAAAAAGTTGATTACTTTCTCCTAATCACTAATTCTTCAATTTTAGTGAATAGTGATTTCTGGATATAGCCTAATTATCACAACAGTTAAGTAGTCCTTGAAACCAGGGTTTCTAAATATCAACACTACTGACATGCTGGGCTGGATAATTCCTAGTTGTAGGGGCTGTGCTGTGCATTATAGAATGCTTAGCATCCTTTACCTAATAGATGCTATTAGCACACCTAACCCTTGCAAGTAGTGATGAAAAAAATACCTACAGATATTGCCAAATACACCTGATTTTAGAGACAAAATCACCCAGTTAAGAATCACAGCTTTAGGCATAGTTTAATTTTTAGCATCTGTTTTAGTTATCCAGGGCCGTTATAACAGAAATACTACAAATGG